CTGTCCACTTCGTGAGCGGTTGCGTGCGCTCGCTGGTCGAGCTCCGAAGATCGGAAGGGACAATCACTCGTACCAGCGGTATCTGGGACAGCGTCGTGCCGCAGCGCCGCACGGTCTACAGGACTGCATCGAGCAAAATCGAGCGCTGGGTCGCAGAACATGTCATGTCAGTTGATGTCATGGAACGGCAAGGTGGGTAGTTAAACAGACCACGCACCATAGAAATGTTCTCCTGCAAATAGTCTTCTCCCATTTCAGTGCTATGATCATTGCATGTTCCTCAGATGCCTTGTGGAAATATCTCAGTCTTTCAGTGAATGCCTCTACCTACAGGCCTAGGCTTAGTGGGGCTTTGCTGTCTGAGGCCTTTCTAGTCGTCTCAAATACAGAATTTGAAGTGATGGCACGCATTTAAGTCTAAATGTGTTGGGGAGGTGCGCAAGATATCTGGTGTTTACATACATTGAAGAATATAGGTGCTGCGCACGGAACCTACGCTTGTCTTCGGGCACCCAGCCGCTCCCTACATGCCTGTACCGGGAGCCGGCCCGGCTCAGACTGCTGCTGTGCGTATGGATGGGAGGGAATCCGATTTAACGTTGCGCAGTCTTCGTCTTCTTTATGGCTACGGAACCTGGGCTGGCTTGATGCGATGATGTGTGGTGATGTGTTTACCTGAGGACGAAAAACAGTACGCCGTGCTTGGCGCGGCCTCCTTTTTCGCAGCACAATTCATTTGTAAAGCTTGTGAATGTTGTGCTATTGTGTTTGTAAAAAGTCCTTTTTGGACGGAACGTGTTATGTCTGGTTTAGACGGAATACGTCTAAGCTGTCGTCTTCCGGTGTCCGCTAAGGTGTGTTCTATCGATCTCAGTAAACTCGCAAGACCTATAGAAACTAATGATCTCGTTCATATCACCGCCACTATTTGTAGGTCTTCGAGTGTTTGGCCGTGCACTATCTCATTTAAAGGCTAGGTCATGCAAAGAGTACAGCCGACGGGGTTCCGAGAAATGATAGGTGTCAGTTGACGTAGCGCAAGACCCGTCTGCTCCAATTCGGATCCCGTGCAGTGGGTATTCTCGTGGGATCATCCGGGATTCCGGTTCTACGTCGTTCTTTATACAACTTACGACATGGTGTAAACTAGAAATATAGGCATCCGTATAATTAACATGGTTTCAGATTGCTTTAAGAACGGATATCCAGGAATGCGTGCAATGACTAATAATTCTTAGTGGCCATAGATTCCCATCAGAGCTCTAGTTTCGCCAAATCTTCTGAAGAAAGCAGTGAGCACAGGATTGGCCAACTTGGGGTACGGTGAACATTATGAAGCTTGAATGCATTAAATGAATGCAATTGAGTCTAGATCGATTTCTAAACGCCCAATCTCCCCATTGTTCATCACATACCCAGTCTCTCTTTATGTGGATATCTTGGGTACATTGATAAGAGTGCAGTTATGTTCCTATGCCTTCACGTTTTCCTTCGGCATCTGAGGACTGTATAGCAAAGGGGAGTCAGAAATTGGGAATGAGTTGAAGATATTGCAGTTTCTAAGATCCTTGAAGGAGACCTGCATTCCGCGGGATTTCCTCAGCATGACGTCCTATTTTGTAGGGATCCACGTCTTTACGGCAGAGTAAGGTGGAGGTGAAAAAAGAAGAAGGGGGCGAGGTGTAAGCTGGTAGGCTCAGCTGCGATTTGTCCGCGGCCCGAGAAGTCGAGACTCTCAACGAAATGCGATCTTAAGCCCCTGGGCCACGTGGCGATTTTATGACCACGCCTCTGTTAACGCCAAAACGACTTACAAAAAGAGAATGCGTAGAAACAATAGCGAGATGCAAACGCAAAATATTTGCTGAAGATTTGCTGCATTTCCATTGCTTTCATCCAACATATGCTCGACAGTGTAGATTTTTCTGGCCTGAGCTTTCCTGCTCCAAAGCACCGTTTTTGTTGTTATGGAAAGCTAGTTGTAGAGCTACAGAAAATATAAATACGATACAAAATGATATTACGAATAAATTTCTTCCCGTCCGTGATATTTCGTAAGACAAAACATTTTTGCCAGAACATCAATAGCTGGGCCATTTCGGTCAGCACTCTTTCTAACACCACTGACAGCTGTTGCTAGGATACGCATGTATGAAAAAATATGCGTGCGCTAGACTTGAACAATTACCAAGACTTACTTGTTCTGATAATATTGTTCACCTTTACAAAGATTATTAAAAATCATCTTGAGTGGCAAGCCAGTTGGCAGGGTTGAGCTGCGACCGGCTGGCTGCAAAAAAATGAAAAATAAGACGAACATGGAATCAGACCCCATGTGACAATTATTGGTCCACCCCTGGCTACATGGATGTTATTGCGTCAATGAGGGTTCTTATGTTAATCCGGGGCCAACTGCACGGGTTAGAAGGCCTCCCGGGTCATGGACAAGAGCAATGTGATATGAGGTATCCCTCTAAGGGCCTTCGGATCGACCAGGGAATCCCGCCCCGCATCACCGCAATGGCAACCGGAAAACAGTCCGCGATTTGACGGAACGACCGCTCAGTCCTTGACCGGGAGGAATAATATGCCCTTAGTGTTCTACTCAAGGGGCCCCTCGCCCAGAAGGAAATAAGGGCTCTTCTTATTGTTGAAATAGTGGGTCGAAATTAGTTAAGAAACGAACTAGGCGTTCCATGTTTGCCTGAGAGAGTTTATTCTGTTGCAGAATCTCTTAGTGAAACAAATTACATCAAAAGATCCGAACATACCTGCAGGCAATCTCGAGAGCAAGGACAGCGATGGCCCGGGTTGCGGCTTCTGTAAAACCGAACGGCGCTGACCGCTGGAAGCGACACCAGGAGGCAGCCGCCGTGGTTAATCTGCCTGTTTAGCAGCTACAGCAACACGAAAAATAAACATTTCACCTTTACTCGTTAAGTTCCACCACCAGATTCCAGCACCGTTTCACGGTGCTGTAAGGGCCAATCAGATATTATCATCAATCTTAAAATCGCACAAGTGAGACACACACCCAGACTACCCTCCAAATTTTAGGATTTCATATCCTAGGGCGTTCAAATTTACTTTGTTCAGGAGTGTCCTCATTTTTGTCCGCTCGCTGGTCACATCCCAATGTGAGCCGCTGGGCCGACGCTGCGCGGCCTAAGAAGGCTGCAACGCCTGGCGTTTATATTTTTGTTGCTAAATTTACGTGTGCGCACGCTCAAAACTACGTCACATAACTTGTATCACTAATCGATTCTGACTGAATGTTGAACATTTTCAGAAAAGCATGGCTTTGCCATGTAAATGTATATTTTTACCTATTGTATGTAGGCAGCGGCGCAGCCAGCACGTTGCCAAAGGGTACCGGGTTGACAAAAGTCCTCCTGGTAGTGAGCCCCCCCCCCCCCAAATATTCCTGTCCACAGTGTACCTTTGCGGCATCCCTAACATGACTGTAAAACCCATATAAAAGACCTGACGAATGTTCTGAATTTCACCGGTTTAGAAAGAGTCCACTGAGCCATTGTAAATTAAGAGCGATTTGTTCCACACAGGGCTGTATTTTGGCAACGACTAACAATCTATTAACTTGGTACCGAGCATGGCATTGTGGCCTGTATTGTCATGGCGCAGCTGCAAACGCTGCTGCTCTTCGGCGTATCACAAGCCACCAATGATACGTGTGCTCCGCCAGTCACCAGCCGGTAACTGCATTGGGTCCGATGTACTCGGATTGGCCAATAACCGGCAGCCGTATTCTAGCGTATTTCAGGCTCCCCGCAAATCAAATCCCCCCCCCCCCCAAAAAAAAAAAATTCACTCGGCACCAAACCACACAAGTGCAATCACAGTGAGCGTCGCCGGTGTAATGTTGTACAGTAATCGTGGCATTCAAGAGCATGAAGATGCGTAGCCCCGCGGGTGCTGATGGATCCGTAGAGGGTCAGCGGTGGGTTCAGTTCCAGAAGCAGCATTCATTTTTCGTTTGGCTCTCTTTCGCACGCTTACATCGGCTCTTCTGTAGCATTTCGCAGGCATAAATACATTTATGCGATGCTCGTGCTATGCACAGTTCGGCCATTGCACATACATACACTCCACGTATTTAGCGACGGCCGCAGCCTGGCCGGAACCTGCGAGTCAACCGGGTGTGATGTGAACCGTGTCGCTTAGAAAACCCCTTCAAAACAAAAATGATTAAATTCCAACCACTTCTTCTGTGGCTCAGTGTTATTGGTTTTCATTGTATGTGTCAAAATATTTAACTAGAACAGTAGCCAATGCAGGGGCATTGTGGCATTTACCTGGCCCTTTGATTATCTGCACGCGGTCGCTGCGTCCCCACCCCACCCCACCCCCCCCCCCCCCCCCATCTGCACCTCTGATTGAGTTCCAACTTTGGTCCGAAAAGGGGAGCTTATGACGATTGTTCATATCGAGGCAATGGAAGGGTGCTATGCCATTCAGGGTCCCCACTACCGAACAGTGTGCATATCGAGCCAATGGAAGGGCGCTATGCTATTCAGGGTCCCCACTACCGAACAGTGTGCATATCGAGGCAACGGAGGGGTGGTATCCCATTCAGGGTCCCCACTACCGAACAGTGTGCGCTCTGACCCAATTCCAGCATGGGCCTGTTAAGCCGAACTGGGGTCCATGTACTACTTATTGGACCACTTCAGTTCAGCTGAGAGCTCCACCACGCGCGGACGCGAGCGCTGCCCGCTCCTCCCTGAGCCTTACGCTTCTGCCGGGGGTCGTCTGAAAACCTGCTCGGGCACGCTCCATCTTTTGGGGCCCGCAGCCGAGGGCCGTTCGTGATCACCCATGAGTCACTTGTCGTCCGACCCACGTCACCACCGTCACAGCGTCTGCATACCTGGGGTGAGGGCCATGAAGTCTCTCGGCCGTATCTTGCCGAACAGTAAACACTGCCGGCCGCACCTGGCATGAGCGTCGCGTCGCGTCCGGCCCCAGTTGTGCCACGTCCTCGGACCGTGCCGCACCATGTTGCTGCCGCTGCTGGTGACGCTGCTCCTCGGCCAGGCCTGGGCCGACCTGTCGCCCACCCCGGCCACGGGCGACACCTCGTTGGAACAGGTGCTCACGGAGCTGGCTACCTTCTACGAGTCCACTGTGAGAGCGGCCACGGCCGCGGCCCACCAGAGCATGACCCAAGACCTGGACCACATCAAGCAGACCCTGGCAGCCCTCGTCTTCCGGCTGGACTCCCTGCAAGAGGTCCAGAGCTCTGTCTCCTCGAGGCTGGACTCCCTGCAAGAGGTCCAGAGCTCTGTCTCCCCAAGGCTGGACTCGGTGCAAGAGGCCCAGGTCTCATTCTCCTCAAAGCTGAATTCCATGCAGAGCTCGGTGTCATCTCGGCTCGACGCTGTGCAGCAATCCGTCGCAGCGGTATCTTGCAGACCGGAGGCGTTATTGGACGGTTTGGTAAACATTCAAACTGCTGTCAACCGTCTGCCATGTAAGAGACATCGAGCGACTGTCTACATTCGTAATCGGCCACGTCAATTCCACTCACTGTCTCTGTTGAGCACAGGTATCTGACTTAAAGCTTATGTCAAGTAAACAAAACAAAATTGCTTAAGCATGACCGATTCTGTGCGAGATTTACTGAGGTAATATTTTCTTCCTTATGTCTACAAGACAGAACAACAGCAGCTTTCGTTCAAAAAACGGCCAAACAGGTCTCCATGGTTTTGTTAATTTTAAGATGAGCTGTAACGTTCTAGCAATGTAATATCAACAGCCCCACACTATAATCAATTCTAAAATACTGAGTGGTCCTAGTCCTTTCAACGTGAAGATCTTCACAAGCGTAACGCAGCGTTGCGAGCCGCTGGCAAGCACGACACATTGTGCAGCTCTTGTTCACGGGCACGGAAGATGCTACCACATGCAAAATGTCATGTTCCAGGGTTCAAATCCAAACCAGTGTCATACCCTGATTTTGAGTCTTTGGCGTTGAAATGAGTGCGCAAAATGTTTTGAGCACACACGCTTTTCACTATATATATGTTCCAGCTACGCTCCGGCAGACTTATTGTTGAACAGTTTCAGGTGCTGTGTCTGTTGGCAAGTGGTGAAGAATATCATGACACTTGGCGTAATTTTGTGGGGACCAAATCCACTGGTCACTGCCGTATCTGTTGCTGTTCTGTTGTACAACGCCCACTGCAGTCCAGCACTACCAAACTGTTTCGATGAAATCAAATGGACCTTTTTGCTGCCACTTCATGACTGCTTGCTTTTGCCAGGGAGGGTGCTGGGTGACGCGTGCGAGAACAACGCGGACTGCTTCAGGGCAGTACCTAGCTCAGAGTGTGGCAGCGACGGCACCTGCACGTGCACCGCCGGCTTTAGGCGGATCTCCAGAAGTGAGTGCCGAGCTCGTCTGCTGTCGGAGCCGTGCACGACCAACAGCGAGTGCCAGGTGAGCGAGCGTCACGTGTGGTGCTGGCGGTGGCGACCTGACCAAACGCCTTCCGTCGGCCCCTTTTGACAGAGTGGTTTTCAGATCAAGTGCTAGAAGTCATCATCATTGTTTCACTATGCAGTATAAGTGTTATACAGCCGTGAGAACAGGGGACATTTGGCAGCTAAGCAGACGATCTGAACTAACGATCTGTAAGCTGACGGTTTTTGTTGCGGTCTGCAGCAGGCAACATCCGTAGTAGTTGAAATCGTTCCCAAAATTGACCTGTTCAAACACGCCATGCGTTGCCACGTAGTCACCCTTGGTGCAGCGGGCGATGCTCTAAACATAGGATGCGTCTGCATTTTGTACTCCTCTGCTGGTTAGGTATTTCAAATGCGCTGAGTGTTTCCAGCATGTGTTTCCTGTGAAGGTTGACAGAACACCCAGAACAGCCCTTCCTTTACAGATTTTTAGATGTGACGATGTTCAATGGAGAGCCATGACACATGGTAAATGCGGGCCCTGGAAATGTACACATATCACGATTGACAGCATACGGTACCGGAAATAATGTTAGGTAAATGCTGAAGCATAATCAGTGGTAGCAAATCTAAACGATTTTCTACATACTGATGAGGCCATGCAAACCCGTCAATAATGGAAACACCACACAATAATGTGAATAGTGAATAGTGAAACGCTGAAATGTCCGCGAGCAAAAAAAAAGCAAAAATTATATCTTCTAACTGTTGGGACCGCCGACAATAGCATATTATCATACCGAGCTTGTGTACTACCAGACGTTCGAAGAATGTATATTATGACCGGAATGTCTTGGTCCGTCTGTTGGTAAATTATTTAATTATGTATCTGCTGATTTGTTGGTTGCATTCCTATCTGTATGGGCATGACTATCACCCAAGTGATTTTGTATGCGACCTAATGGTGGTGACAAATGGAGCGCGTGGAGATGAGATGACGCAAGCGACTCCGTCGGCCTCCCCAGCGTCTGCATGTCAAGCCCAATATCTGACACGTCCTGCCAGTTCGCTAGAAGTACGACCGTGTATAACAGCGTCACCCTCCCATGCCGCCGTTGAGTGCGTTGGCTAATCGTTGCAGGCTGCGACGGCACATTCGGTGTGCACGGACGGTGCCTGCGCCTGTGCGACAGGATACTGGAACCGAACTAACAACGAATGCCGGCCAGGTGAGAGCCCGACGACAACCCGCGCCACATCCACCACTGTGGGACGTGTCATAGCCCGACGACAACCCGCGTCACATCCACCACTGTGGGACCTGTCAGAGCCCGACGACAACCCGCGCCACATCCACCATTGTGGGACGTGTCAGAGCCCGACGACAACCCGCGCCACGTCCACCACTGTGGGACGTGTCAGAGCCCGACGACAACCCGCGCCACGTCCACCGCTGTGGGACGTGTCAGAGCCCGACGACAACCCACGCCGCATCCACCATTGTGGGACGTGTCAGAGCCCGACGACAACCCGCGCCACATCCACCACTGTGGAGCGTGTCAGAGCCCGACGCAACCCGCGCCACATCCACCACTGTGGGACGTGTCAGAGCCCGACGGCAACCCGCGCCACATCCACCACTGTGGAGCGTGTCATAGCCCGACGACAACCCGCGCCACATCCACCACTGTGGGGCGTGTCAAGAGTGCTGGGTGTCTCGCACGGCTCCGACCTCAATAAAATTTATTTAAGAACAGCATCAATGATCTCGCAAACGTAGGGACCAAAGGATGGCTGGTCGAACCATTCTGGAAGCGCAAACACTGCTCGCACAATGGATAGTGCAACAGTGAGCAGCATTTAACTCACTTTACTGAAAGATGTGTGCAAATCCGTATTCCACATTGCCGCAAGCGTTTCAGATGTGGTTGCACTACCTGTATCATCAGTGTCCAAGGTGGAGTTTGCACAAAATCTATGAAATTAAGTCCAGCCCTTGCCTCCAGAAACCATAGAATTATCTGCACCAGAATCAAAGTCTTATTCTATTTCCAGTGCGCGAAGCAAACAAATAATTTCAGGTGCTGACTGCTGTGGCACATACGGCACAAAACAGCACGAAACAAAACTTGGCACCTCGGACTAAATGTGCAAACCGGGTCTTACCTATTCGTGGCGTATACGCGACAGGTGAGAGCGCGGCGACAATCCGCGCCACATCCATCACTGTGGGGCGTGTCAGAGCCCAACGACAACCCGCGCCACATCCACCACTGTGGGGCGTGTCAGAGCCCCACGACAACCCACGCCACATCCACTACTGTTGAGTGTGTCAAGAGTGCTGGGTGTCTCGCACGGCTCCCTCAAGACAATTTCTTCAAGAACAGCATCAATGCTCTCGTAAACGTAGGGACCAAAGGATGACTGGTCGGATCATTCTGGAAGCGCAAACACTGCTGGCACCATGGATAGTGCAGCAGTGAGCAGCATTTAACTCACTTTACTGAAAGATGTGTGCAAATCCTTACTCCACATTGCCACAAGCATTTGAGATGTGGTTGCACTACCTGTGCCATCAGTGTCCAAGGCGGAGTTTGCACAAAACCTACGAAATTAATTCCAGCTCCTTGCCTCCAGAGGCCATGGAAATATCTAAACCAGGATTCCAGTCCTAAGCCAGTTTTAGGCTATTTCCAGTGCACAAAGCAAACAAATGACTTCTGGTGCTGCCTGCTATGGCGCATACAGCGTAAAACCGCGCGAAGCCAAATTTGGCACCTCGGACTTGACGCGCAAAGCCCAGTCTTACCTATCCGTGGCGTATACGCGAAACGTCATCGTTAAATCACGGTACTGAGAGACGCTGCGCTGACCCACATATCATTGCAGGTGTAAGCGCAGGCCAGACATGCACCTTCGACCAGGACTGCTCCACGCACCGCTCCAACTTCACGTGCAACTCGGGCATGTGCTCGGAACGCGTCTGCCCGGGCGTCGTGCGTGGAGGCTGTAAGTGGAAAAATATGTACGCAGTGTCGCGCCATGACGTACGTGTCTAATGGTAGACGTTACATTTGTAACGGAAGGGCAAATGTCTGCTCGTTCTTGAGGTAAGAATCTGAACGATGCGTGGGAACCCGGCCACTGTGTCTCCCCATGAGGGTAAGGCCAGGTCAGGTTCAAGGTTGGACTATCAGTAGCCCACACGAACGATGCTTTTTGTCTTCTATCACAATGTGCTTCTGACCAAATTATTTCTGTTAGGTGCAGCTGGGGGCAAAGGTATGCCAGACGCAAAACTGTCCTTTTAGGCTGACTTGGGGGTCAGCTGGAGTTCAACTTAAGTCAAATTTCTAAACTATCGAACTGGAAAATTAAATTGCTAACCGGATATGTGAATAGCACAATGCTTTTCTGCGGTAGGTAATTGTGTACTGTATATCTGCAAGACCTCAGCGTCGAATAGCTGTGGTATACATGGCCCCGTCGGCGTTTGACAATGCTGGTGTAACAAACTGAGAACAGACACATTTGTACATGAAATTGTACACCAGCAGCTTCAGAAACACAACACGGAGGTGGTTACACGCGTCGCACTCGTTCATCTAACCTCTACGATACTGGCAAAATAAATCATTGACTTTGGATGGCGCCATATGACCCGACATGTTTTCATGTGACCCATTGTGGCCCTATTTATCATTGTGTTCAGCGTACCTCTCGAATTCTGTGCCCCAAATGGCTTTAGAAAACTGCCTTTTTCTAGCTCAGCAAGTGTTTTACAGAAGACACCCATAGATGTAAGTCATGACCTGGACCAAGGCCATGCGCTCTGTGGTCATAGGATGGTTGTGCATGCGAGTTGGTACTCTTTTCCTCATCCACAAACACCATAACTACACAAAAACATGTACACGTTTTAAGCTAGCTCCCTTGGCTGCGCCCCTGGTGGTAGCTTATTTCTGTCAGATCATATTCATTATTCCGGGAAACTTCTCAACTTATTATTACCATCCCAAAACTTATTCGAAAAAGTTCCAAGTGGAAACCAATGGCCTCTGGCGTTCCAGAAGGATCCTTTTCGGCTTCACTGCTCTTCTCGATGTTCATAAGCGTTCTGCTGTGGGTCACTCAGTCCGGCTGCCTTCTGTATGCCGAAGATGTCCAAACCTTCCACCAATTTGTGTCACCATCTGACGTGCAATTCTGCAACTTGCCCTCGCTCGTACAAGAACATAGTCCGTTCGATGAGGATTAATGCGCAATTCTATCAAACGCAAATCGTCCATAATGACTCTTAGGCGCGCGCTAATCCAGACAGAGTACTTCATCACTGATACATCGATGACACATTTGGAGAAACTCATGACCTTTGTGTCCCTCGCAGGCCTCGCGTGCAGTTTTTCACCTTGATGGTATTAATTGCAATTCGGCAACCTGGTGATCAGAAAACCTTACATCGACTGCAATAGACAATAGCGTAGGGCGTTCGACAGCAGTTGTTTAGTGACAAGGGCAGCGGATGACGGAGTGAACATGTACGGTGCCCTGTTTTTGTGCGCCTGTGGACTCCAGCGAGACTTCCTATCTGCATAAAATACTTCCTTTGTGCCAAAAGCCTGCAAAACTTCCTCATGCGTGCGTGAGTGTGCGTGCGTGCGTGCGTGTGTGTGCGCGCGAAATACCCCCCCCCCCCCCCCCCACCTCCCCCACCCAAGCGAACATAACGTCGTCGTTTGGACCCAACAGCCAATGAGCGCCCTCCCACTGCTTCTTAAGGCTGGAAAAAGTATTGACGCTCGCACAGCACTTGACTTTCTTTCTTCGTAACCACATACTTCATTTCTAGAACAGATGATTTGAAATAGGGAATCAGGCCGAAGACCTATCCAGGTTTTCAATGGACTTCACGCCGATTACACATCTGCTGTGCTGCACTCGATGACTGACTACTGCTACTAAGGGTCGACACGTTCACAACGGATTCCGTGATTCCGTCATTCTGTGAAAGCGCGTGGACCGTGGGGTGTTGTGCTTTCAACACTCGCGCCGCGGTTCGCGTGGCGTTTGCGTTAAAGATTTGGTACCGTGCAGTTTGCGAGTGAGGCCCTTTTCCAACGACACATTGTGAATCGCTCACAAGCCCCCGCTAACTCATGAAAGCTCTTCGAGGGCTGACGCCAATGATCGGTACGACGCGTGCACATTTGTGTTCCCTGAATATGTGTCTATATTTGTATTTTATTTGTATTTTCCCTGAATATGTGTCTATATTATTATGTTTCAGATGAGTACCGGCTGGCTGGAGGTGATTACTGTGCGCAAGGCCGGGTCGAACTCAGACCCGTCGGCGGCACTTGGGGCTATGTCTGTGACGACTCGTGGGAAAATGTGGACGCGTCAGTTGCCTGCCGGACACTAGGATTTAGGTGCGTATTTTAGGTCCCTGTGGTTTTTTAACTCCCGGCACGACACGGACCTCTTTTCCTTTTCGCAACATCATACGCTGCATTTAATGTCCACCGCCATTAAGCGTATGAAACTCTCATTTCGATCGCCCTGGCAAACAACGACGCCGGTGGGGTTACTCCCATGCGTGCAACTATCACCAAATTTTGTGAAGCATTGATACGGTAGTAGAAACTTGCTCCTATGTAATTTCAATGAACTGCAAGATGCTTAGCGTGGATTTCATGTCATGTTCAACAGCGTGCTGAACGAGTAGTAAACTACCCACATTTATGAGCTGACCAGAGCTAGAAACAATACATTAACTAGTCATGTATTCAGACGTTCCATACACTACAACTGTGAGATACGCAACTTAGGTAATGCATTTCGTAATCGCGAGAACTTCTGGAATAAAAGACCACTAATGTTTTTTTCAGCGCTGGGAGAGCACACTGCTGCTCCGCGTACGGTGCCGGAGGACCTGAAAACTTCTACATGGATGACGTCAATTGCAGTGGCTCCGAGAGCCACCTGAAGAATTGTCCTCACAACACCGTGGATAACTGCCACCGAGGAGAGGTGGCGGCGGTCACCTGCAGTGGTCCCCAGCAGAACGCCTGAGCCTGAGGCTACAGACTGGGGACTACAACGGCCAGCCTGGCGTTTGCTCGGAATCAACAAAACATAAGATGTCTCACACCCATGTGACAGAAACTGCTGCATCCGGCAGCGAGCCTGATATCCATCCACAGTTTTAGAGAGTGGTAATGGCTTTGGCTCACTTCGGCATCTTTTCAGGCCGCTGGGAGACTCAGATCGGGTGCAACGATAGACATATAGAAGAGGCGAAATACAAGGCTATCCCAATCTCAGACCTGAACAGAACTCGAGCCTACAAACAGCCTGCGATTGTCAAAGTCCTTGGCGAATATACATCCCAAATCACAAAGGTGTAGGCAGGTGACATGCTGCCCATTTTCCGAAGGCACATCCAACTCACATCGTTATATATTGCTCTAATACTGTCCCCGAAACGGCCCTTGCCAAAACGCATGATTCATGTCAAATTGTCATTGTGGCTCCGAAGACGTGAGACACATCACAAAAATCGTGATGTTTCGTTGCAGAAAATGCCTGCATCTTGCGATGAAAGAAAAAGGCTACAGCATTGATAACGACAAAAGCAGTCGCATTCATCTGCACCGTGCTGTTTGCGAAGGACGGCGACGCAGTGGTGGCTGAACAACGGCAAATTTTGCCGTCTATGTGAGGCTGCGTTTTTGCGCTGCTGCTGACAAGACATGCTTAGCGTCACGTTGGCAGCTCAACAGTCACTGGATGACGTCATCACAGTCCGGTTACACCAGGAACATGACATCATCATATCGTCGCAGACAACCCGGAATCATAATATTCTATGGGACACGGCAGCAAATTTGTCATCGCACGTCACACACGGTATCATGAATTGCTCCTGGTGTTGAAATGTCACACGTGTGAAGACCAAAATGCACCCAAGCGCTCCTGGTAGTGATGCAAAAGATCATAAGAAAGCAATTGGTAACGAAACCGCTTAGCTTTGTCGTTCCGTTACATAAAGTGAGAAACAAAACCTGGGTCGGTCATGTCCATGAGGCTCCTGCAACACATCACACTGTGTGTTTATGATGCGTGAAATGCGCCAACACTAGCCAGTACCCGGCGATGAAGCTTCTGGGCTCCAGAGCGGTCAATTCGTCTGAAGTTTCGTTCTTCCTATTTTCACGTTTGGCAGTCACCGACTTCCTGGGTTCTCCCTCCCTTAACTGATACCCATTTCACCCCGGCTGCCGTTCAGCTTAAATGTCGCACATGTGCCATTCCTCTGAGGATTTCGGGAGCGCTGGTTACAAGCCGCGCATAGCGAGACAAGTACACACTCAGCTATGACGCCATGCTGAAAACTGTAAACCTGGGCTCCACACTACCCGATGTAGCGACGTATTTCCTAGGCGTCCCCTGGTACCACAGTGAATCCAGACAACAGACATGTGTTACAATCTTTGCGGTCCTCAAACGCCTTCTTACAGTCACCTTCAAAGCCTATTTCGGCCAGCATTGGTTTTTGCTTCACGGAATACAGTTCATGGTATATTGGACGATCCCATTTCGGGTGAATGCAGAAAAGAAGCCGCAAAGTGATAGCAGGCATCGAAATGGGCCAGCAACACAACTAATATCCGTGATCAACATGTGGCCGTCACACAAGAGGGAGTGACGTCACTCGTGCTATGCCACGCGTACCGTGTCACCCATGCCGTGTTATCCTGCGGGCGTAAAGGTCGGCACTGTATGGGGAGGACACCATGGATTGTAGTAGAGTAAATGTGATCATCAGAAGGCACGTATTCTCCGCATATAGAGGGCGCCACCGCGGAGCGGCGAGCTCCACCGCCAGGTGCCGGCCCTGCAGGTAGGCAAGGCGCCGCAGCAGGGCGGAGACGACCACGGCCAGACCAAGGTTTGGCCCGCACAGGTGGCGCTGATGAAGGGAGGAGGTGACCACGACAGGCCAAGGCTTGGTCCGCACAGGTGGCACTGATGAAGGGAGATGGCGAACACGGTCAGACTAAGCTTGGCCCGCACAGGTGCCGCTGATAAAGGGAGGTGTGTGTGTGTGTGTGTGTGTGGGTGGGTGCGGGTGTGCGTGTGCGTGTGTGTGCACTAAACTAAGAGCACCCAGCACCAAGCGCAATATGGTCCTGAAATAAAACCATGTGATATAACAATTGTCAAGCTCTTTGACAAACCAGATAATGCTGCCTTCAATGGTTGAAATAGAAACGGTAGCCATGACTCACAAAACATCTTAATTTTGTCATATTGACATAAGTTGACCTGGCATGACTAATCTAAGCATATCTTTTGGAGTCATCAAATTATGTAAAAACTTTAAAATGCCACAAAGCATTGGCACAAGACAATACAAATATCCAATGTAGAGCTCAAATAGCACCAAGAGTTGCTTTCCAGTGCATGTTCTAGAACACTTTTCCCATTGGGTATCTTGAAAATACAAAGTCTCCAAAAATGCTGCTTGAGTAACTGGTTAAAGCAAACATGGTAACACTAGCAGACATAAAAACCTCCCCCTTTTTTGCAGAGCACTGACCAATATATGGAACCTTAAGATATAACAGCAGTATATCTTCCTTTCACATAATCTGAGCAACTCATGACAACTTTGGAATACGAATAAGATATACACTGATAATCCATAGGAATGGTGACCATGAGGCATTTAAGTATTACCAGGAAATCCTCATATGATGGATTCATCCAGTGGATATCGGTGAATGCCTGCCTATGACCAACCTCTGTCTTACAATAAGTGGTGTTTGAAAAAAAAAATGTGGTGCATAATATTTGTTCAATGAAAAGGCAAAACAATACTGTCTTCAGGTATGCAAACTGTTAGGGGTTGAGACAAGACCTACAGTTCAGGCATGCAGTTTGCACAGTGCTGGTGCACAAAACTCATGCATCTTCACTCAAGAAGACACCATAGGGTGAAATGACTCTACAATATGTGCCAACATATGCGAGTTTTATCTGAATGACAGATCAACTAATGCATATGCAGCATTTTATTGCTGCATGTGCAGCCATGAAATGAAAAGGAAGCAGATGAAAGAAGACATCAATGATGTTTAATAAACAGGTAGTGATAGCTTTATTCAACATTAACAGATCACTGAATTTTATGTGATCATTGCAGAATTCCTTGTGCCTTTTCTTGGCATAGGCGACATGGTGCCTGCCATTGCCACCAATAAGCAACCAGTGAAAACTTTATCAACAAGCACATCCTCAACCAATAGGGTGCTGACACATCAAGCATGGGTTACAGGTGCATTGGGTGAGGAAAGTGTGCATGGCTGCTGAGATTTGTTCCCTGGAAACTGCTCCTTCCTCCCATTCCCAGAGCAAGAAGAAACATGAAACCGGTTTTAGGTTCCAGAACCAGCAAAAAACAAACCAATTAAAAATGGGGCTGCTTGCCCAACACAAACCAGGATATGGCCAGACTTGTCCTCTGGCAACCAACACAAACCAGAATCTGGCCTGACTTATCCTCAGGCAACCAACACAAACCAGGACCTGGCCCAACTTGTCCTCAGGTGACCAATGCAAACTGGGATCTAGTCTGAGTTGTCCTCTGGCAGCTAACACAAACCAGGATCCAGCTTGGCACTAAGCCAAGGCCCAGCAAGAACCAAGATCAGGCTTGGAGCATGCACACAGATATAGTAAGAACTAAATCTCATTAGTGTAATGGTCTAAAATAATGCCAAGAGACCCAGGAGGTCAATGCCAAGTCTGGAAAACGGCCAAAAATGCAACGAGGACAAAAACACAGACTAGAATTCTGACAAAGATCCTGCCAAAATCATGATAAAATTTACAGAAGGCAAACCAAAGAAAACCAGAATCTAAACTAAAAATATTGTCAGGAACCAGCAACTACCAAAACTTTGAACTGAACTGCACAAACTGAACTGAGCTGGACAAAACTCATGCCAGTTACAGAAGTAAGTAACACAACATATGCTGCCTAGGTATCTTGTATTGCACACCCATACTATTACCTTTTGTACCACTTATATTGCTCTTTTACTCTTATTTATCTGCAATATTTTAACAAGTCATCCCTGATATGACAGCCATTTTGATGCTTAAAGGGTGTCTGGCCACTTAGCAGTGTTAAGCATTCAGCCACTTAGGTAGCAGAAATGTCTAAAAAAATTTACATGTTATTACATACGAGGCTTGGATGGCCAGGGATGGCAAGGGGCTGGACAGATCAAAATGTCTGGGTTCACAGTCAAAGTGCAACAGATTAGCCACAAAACTGCATCCAGAGGCTGCTAGAAAGACAAGGTTTGAGTTACATGACGTCATATTTTCATCCTGGATACACTACTGGATGTATTTTGAAATGCTGTGGCGACACCTGCAACATCCTGCCAGCAACTCAGTTCACACACACACTGTACATAGGAGAGCCCCAAGTTTAATACACAGTAACCCCATACCCAGGGCAGAAAGAGCCAAAGTTTCAAGGAATTATGGTGATGCTAAGGAAATTTGAGTAAAAGTGCACGCAACACGATTAAAAGAATGCATTCAAGAATTCAGCATAATCCGCCTGAAATCCGTTAGGCACAAGCATGCGCCAGGTTCAACGCACCCAATCACGTAAGCATGCACGCGGTGGATGACTTTATTACTGAAAAGGCCAGGGCACGGACACCCCACCCCATTACTCCGCCAATTGGTGTATGTGATGCGTGGTGCCTTGAAAATAGCAAGAATAAACATCTGCAGAGGGTAGAATTTCGCCAACAAACACTTCCGTATTAGCTGCGTCGGGTCTGTCCCAAAGACCCTATATGGCAGCCTTGCCTTGCCTTAATAGCCTTGCCAGGTAGCCTGGTGAGCCAGACACTCGAAAGCTTGGATATGTCATTATTGAGCACCGCCATGAACCAAGAAAACGCTAAACCGAAGTTTTAAGAGGGCAAAAGTGGTGGTAAAAAAAAGTTCCGTGCTTCAAATTGTCTCCTTCATTCCCTGTGAATTGTTCGCGCTTGGGTGCATATCAAATATGTTTGGGCGGCTGGCGGATTAATCCAATTTATGTATGAAATGCGTAGAAGTTTGCAGTTGGAGCATTTGCAGAGAAATTGGTCAACATTTTAAGCGGCAGATGGTACCTCTAAAGACAATCGAAAAGGAAGAAAGAATAAAGTGGTATCACACTGGTACGATACCAAGAAAAACAAAAGTAGCTAAATGAATATCAAGAGTGGCACTTTTCTCGCAAAATTTGGTGATCAGTTGATTCAACTTAAAATCTGTTAATGTAAGTGCTCAAATGGTGATATTCATCTT